ACAGCAACAGCAACAATACCACCCCCCTTCTTACAAACCTTAACACGTATTTTTTCCTACACCGACGCGGCAGCCGCCCAAAATTGGCCGAGCAGGACATCACCAAGTATCTCACCCAGACTCATGACCGCCTCTTTGAGCACAACAAGGTCTGGGCCGCCGAGCAGGCCAAGAAGGACCCCGAGTTCTTCACCAAGCTCTCCGCCGGCCAGACGCCCGAATACCTCTGGATCGGCTGTGCCGACTCGCGCATCCCCGCCGAGCAGATCACGGGCCTGCAGCCCGGCGAGGCCTTCATCCACCGCAACATTGCCAACCTCGTCTGCAACATTGACCTCAACGTCATGAGCGTCATCAACTACGCCGTCCGCCACCTGCATGTCAAGCACATTATCGTCTGTGGCCACTACGGCTGCGGCGGCGTCAAGGCCGCCATGACCCCCAAGGACCTCGGCATCCTGAACCCCTGGCTGCGGAACATCCGCGACGTCTACCGCCTGCATGAGAATGAGCTCGACCAGATCAAGGACGAGTCCAAGCGCTACGACCGCCTCGTCGAGCTCAACGTTGTCGAGCAGTGCCGCAACGTCATCAAGAGCGCTGCCGTCCAGCAGTCCTACAAGGAGAACAAATACCCCATCGTCCACGGCTGGGTCTTTGGCTTCCAGGACGGCCTGCTGCACGACCTCAAGATTGACTTTGAGTCGGTGCTCAACGACATTCAGAAGATCTACAACCTCAACGAATAATCGGTGTCTCGTGAGCCAGATGGGGCGTGTTGTAGCGATTGATTGGTGACGAGACGGATCGGCAAATGGAGACATGTAGCTTGTGAGCTTGGCCGGCGTTGTATTGAGGCGGGCACGCCTGGCTTGAGGGCCGTGGTTTAGGTGAGGTCAGGCGAAGACGTGGTGATTTGGCGTTTGGTGTGGTGACTGATTAACAGGATGAAGAGTTTTTTTTATTTTGGGTGAGCAAGGGTTGGGTGATCCGGGTGTGGTCGAGTACATCTCGACCTGTGTTCAGTTGACATGGCGGGGAAAAGCCGCTGCGATAGGTTTTCAATTCATCACGTATTCTACATCACCCCGCTCGACTTGCATCGACGGCGATCAACAAAACAGATGAACGACGACGACTCATGACTTGGCACCCATTCAGGATTCAGGCCAATGAGTTCGACCTCAATTATATCCGTCCATGAACAATCCGATAGGGCCGTATCGTCAATTCGATCTGCAGTCGACGCACCCCTCAGGACCCGCACGCACCATCGGTCGTGGTTGATAACATCCATGTTCGACTGTGCTCACCTGATGTCGATTTCTCCAAATACTGTCCGAACATCGTCGCAGCACCGGCCGCGGGCCGCGCGAATGCTGATGTCATTTCTTTCCAGCCTCTAGATTGACCTCGCCGTACAACGGAGGGTGTTCCCCTCAATCCGCGTGCGACCTTCTCAAAAGGTCTTCCAAGGCCACCAACACCCAATGCTCACCAGTAGCGTTGGGGCCGCTAGATCCCTATCCAGCAGGTGGCATGCGATCAACGGCTATCGGGTGGGTTAGCAGCATGGGGCCCTCTCCGCCGCCGATCCTCCGACGCTGGGTCGACGACAGACATCCACGACGTACCTGCGAGTCCATGCAGGAACGCAGCGTCCGCACACCGAGAGAGGGGTGGTTCCCCCGTGGACTGCTGCGCTGTGTTCCACCAAGACGGCAGGTCGATAGCTCACGCAATGTGTATAAGTGCTCGTCACGGCCGGCTGGCTCGCCGCTTTTTACGCCACCATCAGAGCCTCCTCCATCTTCAGTTGTCGACTTCACCTAGCCAGCCTGGTTGAGGGTCGTTGCTCCCGTCATCAGCATGAAGACTACCGCCTTCACACGCCGCTCGGTACTCCCCGCCGTCTTGGCCCTGGCGCTGCGGACTTCTGCCGTGCCATGCACTCCCCCTGGCGACCCCTTCGCCGTCATTGATCCCCAGAATTGGGTCAACCCCGATGATATGGTCTGGGAGGACTTTACGCCGCCGCCGGGGACGAATTGGTCGGATCCGAGTCAGAAGGGCTCGATCCGCAACTTCAACATTGCCCTCGTTCCTGTCGACTACCGAGACCTGCCCTTCATCATCACGCAGCCAGAGCGGTCCACCATTTTCGGCAACCCACAACCCGCCGCCGCCAGCTATGCACGCAAGGATGTCCCTGCGTTTTACCGCGACCTCCTCAACAAGCCCACCGACTTGAACAACCGTCACACCCTTCATGAGTACTGGATGGAGGACTCGGGCGGTCGGTTTGGTGTGGATCTGACCGTCTTTGGAGCGTACGAGCTACCCGCTCTGAGCTACCAGTACGGCATCGATGACCGCTTTAACCTAGGAGAGTGTCCTGCTGGGCCTCCTTGCAACCTCAATATTCGCACTGACGCGCTGAACGCCTGGCGCAACGATGTCGGTAACGAGACGGTCGACAGCTACGACCTGGTCTTTATCCTATCGGCCGGCCAGGATGAGTCTTCGACGTGGCAGGAATTTGGCCCCATGCGCTGGGAGTCACCCGAAGATGTTCCTCCCGAGTTCGGACCTCCTGTTGATAACGCAACATCCAACGCCGCCCGCACACGCTACGTGCCCTGGACCTCCTGGGCGGCAGCAGCTACGCTCTGGCCCAACGCCGGTGGCGGCTCATCGACACAGGGCGAGTCCTCCGGCATGGGCGTCTATGCCCACGAGCTCTCCCACCTTCTGATTATTGCCGACAACTACAACAATCCCTATTCTGACCCGCCGCAACGCGCCTACACGGGGCCCTGGTCCATGATGTCGCGCGGCTCCTTCAACGGGCCCGGTGGTCCTCACACACGCTGGCAGGTGCCCGCCCTGCAAGGCGCGGCCCTCGGCTCGCTGCACACGGTTCGTGACAAGCTCCAGCTCGGCCTCACCGATGAGAACGAGGTGCGCATCCTGTCGCGTGCCGACCTCATCGCGTCCGGCGGCTTCCTCGTCGCCGATATTACCGCCCGCTCCGTCAACCCTGGCCCCGGCGAGCTCATCGGTCTGCGCATCTCCCTCGGTGCGGACGGCGGCGACCGCACGCCTGCCTGCAACGCGACAGCAACGCCGTTCTGCGACGGCGGGCCATACGACCACTACGAAGTCGAGGTCGTCGACCGCATGGGCGCCGACTCGTTCCAGTCGGACGCGGGCGTCATGTTCTCCAAGACCAAGACGCGCGACCGCCTGCCGTTCCAGTGGACCATTGACGCCAACCCGCAAGACATTCGGCTTGTCGACTTTGTTCGCCCCGACGGCACTCCGCAGTACGTCACGATCGGCGACTACCGCCAGCTTGCGGATGCGCTGTTCCACGCGGGCACGCGCTCCGGCAGCAAGGCCGAGCACGTCGACGCCGCCAACGGGCTCCACTTTTACGTCGTCGACAAGAAGCGCAGCGAGGCGGGCGTGCTGTCGTACACTGTGGCCGTCCGGGCGACTTGGGCTGCCGATGCGGGGCGCCGCAGCGTCAAGGTCGGCAGGGGGCTCGTGACGGACCTCCGGCACAACAAACCGACGGAGAAGGGCGTCACGTGCTCGTTTGAGGTGACGAACACGGGCGAGGGCGCTGATCTTTTCCGTCTCGAGGCGCAGGTCGAGGGTCAGGGGTGGAGGGTGGCTGTGCCGAACGAGCTGCTCGTCGTGGAGGAGGGCAAGGTGAGCATTGCCAAGGTGGCCGTCGGCGCCGTCGCTGACGCGGCGGGCGAGGGCGTTGTGACGCTGAAGGTGACTTCGGAGAGGGGCGATGCCGAGGCTGCGGGCGAGTGTCGGATGACGAGGGCGTGATGGGAGGATGATTGTTTCCACGAGAAGCTGGATGACGAGAAGAAATTTCACATGAGAAGGTACATTATTTCTTCTCTCTATTGGGTATCTTTTGTTTTTGCCATCCAAACCGGCCTTCTATCCACACCGTGACCAGTAAAAAATTCCCGTCTCGACTCGGGGGCGTGCGTTGTACCCGTGTCCCCCGAGATGCCGTATCCCCCAGACCCTTTCGCGTCAGCTAGGCATCCCCCATCTCGAGATCGGGATCGACTTCGGTCCCGAGATGCCTGTCCTCGAGGAAGCGCCTGCCCTGCATGCCCTCGGGCAGATAGTCCTGGCGGACCTTGCCGTCGCGGTAGTTGGGCGGGTACTTGTACTCGGCGCCGAAGCCCATCTCGCGCATGAGGCGGGTCGGGGCGTTGCGCAGGTGGATTGGCACGGGCAGGGCGGCGACGCCGGGCTCACGCAGGGCCGAGTAGGCGTTGTTGAGGGCGCGGTAGGCGCGGGTGCTCTTGGGGGCGAGGCTCAGGGCGACGGCGGCGTGGGCGAGGGGGATGCGGGCCTCGGGCATGCCGATCTGCTGGGCGGCCGTGTAGGCGGCCGTGGCGAGGGGCAGCAGCGAGTTGTCGGCGAGGCCGACGTCCTCCGAGGCGATGACGACCATGCGGCGGGCGACGAAGAGGGGGTCCTCGCCCGACTGGAGCATGCGCGCGAGGTAGTAGAGGGCGGCGTCCGGGTCGGAGCCGCGGACGGCCTTGTGGAAGGCCGAGATGGTGTCGTAGTGCTGGTCGCCGGCGCGGTCGTAGACGAGCGTCTTGGTCAGCGACGCCTTGAGGTCGTCCATGGTCGTGTCGGGCCGCGCCGCCAGCGAGAGGGCCAGCTCGAGCAGGTTGAGGGCCGTGCGTGCGTCGCCGTCGGCAAAGGCGGCCAGGTACGTCAGCAGGTGGTCGGCGTTGGCGCCGTCGGAGAGCAGCGGTGGGGGGCCGCCGGGGCACTCGGCGGCGACGGCACGGCGCAGGATGGCGGCGATGTTCTCGGCGCTCAGCTTCTGCAGCGTAAAGGTGCGGCAGCGCGAGAGCAGGGCGGCGCCGACGCGGAACGAGGGGTTCTCCGTCGTGGCGCCGACGAGCGTGATGGTGCCGGCCTCGACGGGCTTCAAGAAGACGTCCTGCTGGGCTTTTGTGAAGCGGTGAATCTCGTCGCAAAAGATGATGGTCTTGCGTCCGGTGAGGGCGAGATCGTTGGCGGCCTCAAGGAACATCTTCTTGACTTCGGCGACGCCCGTTGACGTGGCATTGAGCTCGATGAACCGGCTGCCGGCGCGGTGGGCGATGCAGCGGGCAATGGTGGTCTTGCCGGTTCCCGAGCCGCCCCAGAGGATCATCGAGGGCACGCGGTCCGTCTCGATGAGGGAGCGCAGGACGCCATGGGGCCCGACGAGGTCCTGGCCAAAGACATCATCGAGAGCCTGGGGTCGCATGCGTTCGGCAAGGGGCGCAGAACGGGCCGTCTTTGTGCGTTTGGGCGCTGGAGCATCGAGGACGCCCTGGGCTGCGGGTGGTTGTTGTGGTTGCTCTCCTGAAGGCGTCGTTGCGCATGTGTCTGTGTCTGTTCGTGCCACCATTTCCTGCCCCGGCCCGTCGTCAAAGGCTCTCTTTTTCCCTGCCGCCGGCGCCAGCGGACCAGCCGCCTTGCCGTTGGCATTCGGAGTCAGCACACGGTTCGTCGTGGCTTGCCGTTTTGCGGCGGGGGTCTGGAAGAAGGTGGAAGCGGCGGATCGTTTCGGCTGGGTCAGCATGCTGCCGGCGCCGTTGGTGTGCGAAGGCGTTGAGGGAGGAGGAGAGGATGTCGTGTTGGCGCTGGAAGATGGGTCGAGAACGAAGCTCTCGCAGCCCGAGTCGATGTGGTTGTTGATTAGGTTTGGCTTGACAGGCTTGTTGCATATTGGGCAGTCGACGGCCATGTTGGCTGGGGAGTGGCAAATGGAGGAGGGTGGATGAATCTAGGGCGATGAGCTAAGACGAAGCGACAATAGGACGTAGGACGGTGACAATGGATGGGAGTGAATGGGTGGCAAACAAAGCAAAGAAGGCCGATGTCGATCGGATCTCAAAGTTGGCGAGGGGAGATGGAGCTCGCCGAAGAATTGACTCCATCGATCCTGGTCTTTCCTCGAAGTCCACTTTCTGCCGCCGGACGCGCCAGTGGGGCAATGGGGGGGGGACGCGCTGTCACATGGCCGCGTTGAGTGGTTGCGCCACCGTCAATTACCCAGCCACAGGACATCTTCTGGACCGTCTTCTAGGTCCTAGGTACCTAAGGTACCTAGACTGAGGACCGCCCAGGTACCTAAGACGGCCACCGTCGAAATCCGATATCACCGAGCGTCACCGTTAGCCGCCCACGATGCATCCATCTTCAAACCAAAGGTCACGCATGGAAAGAGAAGTGAATTGCTGAGCTAGCCAGCCTGCAGCCAGCCAGCCAGACCAGTTTCTACCAAAAACGCCGCCCATGCGTCTGTCTCTGTGCTGTCTAGGCGCATGTGCTTGCAACATGCCCATCATATCAAGTGTCGTCATGCTCCACGGTGCTGTCCATCGCCATGTGTGATTCTGCCACCAACTCGTCTTCGTACACTGTCTGCTCGACCCCATCTCATGCCGTCCAGGCTCCCGTCCTCACACCATAAATGACTCGCCGCAGCCGCATTCCTCCTCTGCTTTCGTCAGCTCGTTTGTTCAGGGAAACCCAGTTCCGCAAGAGAAAAGGAACAAGGAAGGGAGGCAGGACACTCACTAATGTTGGGATTCTTAAACACAAACCGCTGGCTCAGCTTGTCTTCGACCCAGTCCATCTCGCTGCCAATGATGCTGAACAGCGCCTTGCTGTCAATGAGCACCTTGACGCCGTCCTGCACCACCTCCTCGTCAAAGCTGCCCGCCTTGTCCACCCACTCGAGGTGGTACGCCAGCCCGCTGCACCCGCGGTTGCGCACCCCGACCTTGATGAGCTTGGGGTCCGGGCCCTCGAGCATCGCCTGCAGCTGCTCGACCGCCGCCGCCGTCAGCTTCATCGCCGCCTTGCGCGCGCGGAGCTTGGGACGCGGGCGCGCCGTCTTGGGGGGTGATGCTGCTGCTGCTGTTGCTGCTGCTGGCGTTGCCGCCGGGGATGTGGTGGCTGTGGTGGCTGGTCTGGGTGTCGGAAGTGATGTTGTTGATGCTGCTGCTGCCGCTGCTGCTGACGATGATGATGGTTGTGTCGTCGGTGATGCTGTGGATTCTGTCCGTGCCGCCGACCTCTTACCAGGCTGCTCGGCTTCGAGCGTCGTGCTCGCCTCGATGCCCGCTGCTGATGACGTCTTCGGAGGCCGCGTCTCGTTCACGACGGGCAGCGGCTCCTTGGCCTCGGCGCGTGGCGGCGGTGGCGCGTTGTTCGGGTAGAGCGAGTACTGCTGGTACGCAGGAGTGCCGTAGCATCGCCGTGCTGTTCTGTTTTTTACTGTCGCTGTCGCTGTCGCTGTCGCTGTTGCTGTCCTGGAAAGTGTGTTCTCGGAGGCGCATCGGAAGACCGAGGGGCTGGCGCTGCGGAGAGCTAGCCGCGTGGCGGAAGCGACGCGGTGGGCGCTCATCGTGTGTGGAAGAAAGCGGCTGTGAGGGTATTGTAGGTGGATTCTGTGCCCGCAATCGTGGTCGGATGCTGGTGTTGTTGATGTGTAGGTAGGGATAGCTGGTAGAGACGAGGCGAAAAGAGGAGGCGAGTTGGCTAATGATGATGACACAGCTCCACTTGTCCGACTGGAGATCGTCAGGCCCGTCGGTCGTCAATCGATGCCAATGGGCGCTCGTCGTAGAAACAGAGTAATTAGGTGTTGCGGTGGGTGACAAGGTCGTCGAGTTTGCTGGGCTCGCAGGTCGGTGAAGGTGGCTCGGTTGTCAATGGCAAAAACATGCGATTTCTCAGCAGGTGACTTCTGGCAGAACCTGGCGCCCCCCCGTGGCCCGCCCCGTGGCACGGCTATGACATGGTCTGTCCGCCCCCGGTTGCACCGCGCCAATTAGAACATGTGCATTACTAGCCCCAAAGCAGAGGGTCGGCTGTCGTCGGTTCATCCTCGGCTGCTGTTTCGACCCTCACAACCCTAACCCTGACAGTGGCCTCCTCCTTACCTAACCCTGTCCAGAGCCGTGGTCAAGTCTGATGACTCGGCCAGGCATCGGAGCTCCGAGCCTCCTAACAGAGCATCTCACAGCACCACGACCAGACAAGCCCCGCAATGTGTGGCAGTTTGTTACCATTGTGTGATACAGTATATTGCACTGCATCGTGTGTGCCCCCCCCCCCCCCTGACCCTCACCTCGAACCACCGACGAGACCCCGTCCATCAGCCACAGCAACCCTGGCCACCTTCTTCAGCAACATCCTCTCATCCGCCTCGCGATACCTCTCCCACGTGTCGAGCCCCTCTTTGGCCTGTATGCTGAGCGTCTCGTATCCCTGCTTGATGACATCCGCGACCTCGACGCTCGTGAGGATGGCGCCCCTCGCCTTGGCGTCCTTGCCCGCGCCCGTCTTGAGCATCTCCTTGTAGTGCGCGCTGACGCTGATGAGCGTCCCGATCGAATTGCTGCCCCTGCTTCCGAGCCCGTACGTCTCCTTGAACTTGACGAGCACGTCGCCCGCCTCGACGATCTTGTAGAACAGGTCGTCGTACGCCGCCGGCGACGGCAGGAACGCCTCGCCCGTCGACAGCGACAGCGCGACGAGGTTGACGACGTGGTCCAGCAGCAGCTCAATTTGCGGCAGGTCCTTGAGGTCGGCGGCGTACGTTGTCAGGAACCGCACGAGGTGCAGCAGCGCGCGGAAAAAGTCGGCCCAGTGGTACGTCAGCCGCGTGCGCGACCGCGACAGGTACGACGTGATGCGCAGCATGATGCCCACGAGCAGCGTGTAGAGACCCACGTCGAGGCGCCGCCGCAGGTTGTGCGAGATGCCGTCGACCATGGTGTCGAGAATGGCCGTCGCCATGACGCGGTCGCCCTTGACCAGCGGGAGGTACGGCGAGCGCTGGCGGCACAGCCTCACGGGCGTCTTGGACTCGTCGCTGCAGATGCGCTTGCAGAGCACGGGATCTTCGACGAGCAGCCGGAATGCCATGAGGTTGAGCGTCGCGTAGTGTGATACACGCTGCGATAGATGTGCGTGCTGCAGGAGGTACGACGTCAGGGAGACGTAGCTCGCAAACGGCTGCTCTTGCCCCTTTTCCGCGGCGAGCGTCACGAGGTTGAAGCAAAAGAGCTTATTCACGTGCGTAAAATCATATGTCGTCAGCAAAAGCGCGGCTTCCGGTCCAGGGCTGCAGTCCATCATTAGCATGGTGATCCGCGCAAGGGCGGACAGGAGAGGCAACGCACAGCTTGGCAAACATCTGCTTCTGTGTCTCCGCATCGTACACAATCTTCTTTTCTGGCTTTGGGCCCCTCGCCACAATCCCGAGTCCGATCATGTGCAGTGTATTGCTAAACGTCCAGCCCTCGGGCAGATCGTCCATAACGTCCACATAGTCAAGCCGCAGCTTCTGGCACGCGTACCCGACACACCTGATCATCTGCTGGATCGTCGGCTCGTTGACAATTTCGTTGAGGCGCTGCTGATACGGGTTCTGGAACTCAAACTTGTTGTAGTTGGCCAGCAGGCCGAGAAGGGTATACGGTTCGAGAATCTGCCCTGGATGCTCCGTCTCGTGGATATACTACCCCCCAGTCAGCCTGCGTACGAAGCGACCACCGAGCCTTTCGCCAAAGCCAAAAGAAAAAAGAGAACACCCACCTTCATGACAGCCGGGAACAAATCCCGCTGGATAAAGTACGTCAAGAGACTCGTCTGGTACGCCCCCGCCGTGACGGACAGCACAACCTCGACAGCCCTGCTCCGCAGCTCAAGACTCTTGCCAGCCCGTATGACCTGGTCCAGCGCCACGGCAAACTCGCCAAAGATGGTGTCGACAAGGTCGATGCCCGCGAGCACGGCAATGACGTCCGAGGTCGGGTGCGCATACTTCTTGCCGAGCACGGCCGCCAGGAAGACGCTCAGCGTCTCGAGTGCGTGCAGCTGGACCGTCGCCGCGCTGGAGCTGGGGCCGGGGCTGGGACCGCCGCCGCCCTGGACGGCCTCGACGCCGCGCTCAAAGAGCTCGCGCGTGCGCTCCTCGAGCCCGAGCACGTCCGCCGCCGAGAGTCCGTCGAGGAGGGCCTGCAGCGCCGGGCGGTCGGGGCGCAGGAGGAAGAACTCGCGCCAGAATCCCTCGCCTCGCTCGGTCGTGTCGTCCTCCTGCAGGGTGTTGGTTAGCGATTCAGCGCCTCGCAGTCGCAGGGTGCATCGGCAGGCTTGGGGGACCTGGCGGGGACGGAGACATACCTTTGTTTGCCGGAGAAAAAGTCAGTGTATGATTCTTATTTTGGTCTTCTTTCTGTTTTGGGGAGGGACATGTCGAGCCGAGTCTCATGCAAAGCGCACCTTGAATAGCGAGTCGTAGAGCAGCACAATCTTGGGTTGGAACACCTCAGGCTGCGGCTGCCGTGTCAGCGGGGAGGCCTCCATTCTCGTCGCTTGTCCCTCCAGCGGACACCCTGGCAAGCGGACGTCGCTGGATCGGTTCGAATTCGGAGACAGTCGTACAGCTCTCGAGAGCTGTCTCGCAATGTGGAAAGAGGCGAAGGACAAAGGAAACCAGGAGGAGGCTCGGATGCGGAAGCAAAGTGGTAGGTGTTCCAATGGCGGCCACCAAGAAGGCGGCTCGACTCCAGCGTTAGGGGGGGGAATAGAAGTACAGCCTGTATCTGATAAGATAAGCCAGCACAGGCGCGGGCGCTGGCAGTGCTGTGGCGTCTCTCCCGAGTATCCCGAGTCAGTGTCCCTCACAGAGTGGCATTCGTCCAGTTCAAGCGCCGTCGTGATATTGCTTTGGCAGTTGGATCAGTTGGATCACATTGGCATCCAGAGTTATTACAGTAGATTATTTCGTGACAAAAGAAATGTGGCAGCAAAGCGCCAGTCCGAGCAAACGCCTCGCAATGCTATCCCAACTAGTCGTTCGCCTTCCAGTCCCTGTATACTACAACAACAGAAGGTCAATGGTAATCATGCGCTGCAGATATGCAAGTCCGAATCCGACATGTACACCCGTCCGTCTCACGTCCCCCAGTCCTCTCAGGGCATCACGCTGTGCCGCCAGCGCTCCACTGAGCCGGGCGGCGGCGCCTGCCCGGCCATTGGCATCTTCATGTTCATGTTCATGTTCATGCCCATGTTCATACCCATATTCATACCCATATTCATGCCCATGTTCATGCCCATGTTCATGCCCATCGGCATGCCGCCCATGCCTTGCTGCATCCCCATGCCACCCATCTGTGGCACCTGCATCTGCATCCCCATGCCCCCACCGTAGCCCTGACTGTACCCGCCTTGCATGCCGAGGGCAGTACCCTGCATGCCGCCGTACATGCCCATCTGTGTCGGCTGCGGTGCGTAGTTGTTCATGGCGACGCTGGTCCGGCTGGCATTGACCCCCGTCCCTGAGGGACCGTAGACACCGAGGCCCGCCGAACCGTCGTTGTAGCTGCCGTTGCGGAATCCTCCAGTGCGCGCTCCGTGCATCGCCGTCGGTAGCGTCTGGGGCATCTGCGCCCTCAACGCCGCCATCTTCGCGTCCTGCATCCGGGCACGGCGCTGCTCCTCCTCGAGCCTTCGCCTCTCCGCATCCTGCTGCTGGGTTTCACGTACAGGGTGGGCGCCGAGCACATCTGCCATGGTCATGGTCCGGCGTGGTGCAAGCGAAGGTCGGATCTGGGTGTTCATCTCCCGCTCCCGCGCCTCACGCTCGGCTTGCAGACGCTTACGCCTCTGACCGAGCGTTTCCTGTTCTTCATCGGCGTCCTTGATAGGGGCTGCCTTCTCCTTTGTCTTGTCTTCGTCCAGATCCCCAAACTGGCTGAGGAGCTCGACGGAGAACGCTGCAGAGACGGGCCTCGTGCAAGGCAGGTTCGAGTGTTCAGCCTCCTCCTTAGCGCGAAGACGGCGAACCCGCTCAGCCAGGGTCTCTTCTTCGATCTCGGGCTCCTCGGGTTCTTCGATTCGGGGGGCGCTGGCTTCGAGATCCAACCGGCTAGCGGATCGCTGCGGCGATGGCATCCGTGACAAGCGGTTGTTGCTAGGGCCACCCGGGTTCAGTGTCATCATGCTCCGGTGCTTTGAAATAGTCAAAGGCTCGTTGCCTTGTAGGCGGGCTCGTCGCGCGCTGAGGGGCTCATTGTCTTCCATTTCACGGCGTTCCATGAGGCCAATCGGCCGGTTGAGCTCGGCCATGGCGGCGGTGAAATCATTGTTACCTGCAGCTTTGCTGGCGTAGAGCAAGCCCAGAGGAACGTCTTCATCCTCGGAACTGTGGTCGGGGTTGGCGTCAGGGTCCTCCCAAGCCAGGTTCACCCGGCGCGTCTTGCGCGTCTTGCGCTGTGCCTCGGCCACGGCGTCGAGCTCCAGCAGGGTCGAATGCATACCCCCGGGAACAGCTTGGTGTTGGTTGCGCGTCCGCATCTTCTGCTCGTGCTTTCGAAGCTGCAGTTCAGCCAACAGGGTCGTGGGAGGGCCCGCATAGAGTTCCTCCTCGTCCTCGGACACGAATTCCTCTTCGTCGTCTCTGCGGTGCTCGCCATCGATACTGCCAGAGAGTGCTTGGCTCTCGTCCTCGTCGCCACGTTCCCTTGTTCTACTGCTATGAACGGAAACACCAGTCATGGTGTTTCTCCGATCAGAGGAGCCATCGTTGCTTGATTTGCCAAACGGCATAAACGAACTGCGTTTCTTGCCATCAGCATGCTCTGGTTGCAGCAGAGCAGACGACTTGCGGTTCGCCTTCTTCTCACGACCATAGACCTCCCGTCCAAGCTTGCCAGCAAACGCGTGATCGGTAAAGGCATCGACAGGGGCATTGGCCGACGCATCAAGGATGCTGTCGAGGGTGTCCATCGCAGAGCCCCCTTTCATTTCGATAGTAGGCGGCTCGGGCGGCAATTCGAAAAAGGCGCTGGCGCGCAAATGCGGTGGTAGATCCTCCATGTGAGCCGACTTGTGGGCGTCCATTTCGACAGTGCGAGGGGAGCGCTGCCGAGCGGCCGGTGGAGGCTGGGGCATCGGGTCGTAGGGGGATTCAGGCCCCTGTTCGCGGCCGGCCGACCACGAGCGTTGTTCGTGGCCACCATCGAGCAATGATGCCCTGTCATGCGCAGGCTCCACTGGCGATGGCTCCAGGGGAAAGGGGGAGAACGCCTCGGACTCCACGGGGTCAGGCAGCCACAAGGTCGACTGGCGGACGGGGGGTGCATGTGAGCCTCGCTCCATGTACTCGGCCTGTCCGAGACCTGGGTGACCCATGGCTTGCAAGACTTTGGAGTGCCTGGCGTTACGGATGGCTGCCTTTGGTTTCCTAGACAGCTTGGGTGGCAGATTGAGCATAGCTGGCACGCGAGCCGGGTAATACATCATCTGCTGGCCCGTCTGCATGTCAAAGTAGGACTGTGGGCGCGGCATGTCCGGTCGGCTGAATGGCTGCTCGCTCTGGGGCTCCGGCATGGGTTCCGGTTCAGGCATCGGAACATCCTCGAAGTAGCCAAAGTCTGGCTCGCAATGCACGCCGTCAAAGTCTCCAAACGCATCAGTCGGGTCGTATGTCATCGTGGACCGCGGCGTCGCTGGGCGGTCTTCCTCAGTCCCCGGCTGTTGTCGGGAGGTCCCTTGACTCGTATTGTCACCATTCTTGCTGTCACTAGGTGCTCCCATGGCCAGGGCGTTATCCAGCAGTTTATGAAAGGCATCTGTGCTTGCGTCGCCGTGGTACACGCCTCCGGCTGGCTTGGCGCCATTTCCGTTCCTCTCTTCGTGTTCGTTGTGCGATGGTAATCGCTCAGCTCTATCAAGGGCGTCGTTGGTCAGTGTTGTGGGTTCCGTCTCGGCGATTTCGGTCAGCGACATCTTGGTTGATCGCGCGCTGCGAGTGGACGATTTTCCGGGACCGTTCCTCGACACAAAGGCGTCCACGTCAAAGTCAGGACGGCCATTGGAGGTTTTTGAGGCGGACCGCAGACGGCTCGTGAGGGAATGGTTGGGCGACATTACGTATCCGGCAGGGGAGTAACCGCCGTATCTCGCTGCGTTGTTTACTTCGACAATATTGCTTGCCGAGGATATATGACGAGCGAGCGAAGGGGGTGCCGGTGGGTGGCTGCCGTCAAGAGGCGGAGAGGGGCCTTCGGGAGAGGATGCCAATGCGAAGGCAGGATTGGAGGCGGCCAAGATGGAGGATCTTCGACTGTCGCTTCTCTTCAATTGGCAGTGCAAGTCTCGAATGGCGTCCTCGATCGAACTGGTCATGGACAGCCGCTCGGCCGTCTTTTCGAGAGTGGCAATATTACCAGTATAGGCGCCAGAGCGGGTGTTGAGGTCGGGGATGGGATGGCACACGGTAAACTTGTCGCTGTCGGAGGTGGTGCGGACGATGGGTTGGGGACGATGCAGCGTCGTGGACGCTGTGGCTACGGCTGGCGGCGACCCCGGCGATGAGGACAACGGCGATGCGGCTTGTTGCTGCAGCGATGCTTGCAGGGTCTCTTGCAGTTGCTCAATGAGACTTGTGGGGGACGAGGGAGAGGAGAGGGTACTGTCGAGGTTCGATGCAATTGTGGTGTCGAGTGTGTTCGAGTTGTTTGTTTTCGCTTGTGTGTAGCCAGGAGGTTGTTGAGTGCGTTGGGTGGCACGACCGGCCCCTTTGGAGCCTGGCAATAATGCCGGGATGGACAGCGGTGTTGAGCCTGCATGACCCCTGGCGCGCGAGAAGCTTGTGATTTCGGCGCTGTCATCTTCGCGGCTGTGCTGGTCGGGGCCCTGGCTCAGAGCTTCGCTATGGCCGTGGTCGGCCTGTGCGTTCTTGTCCAATTCGTCTGCATTCTTCGGTGCGAGGTGCTCCTTGGCGGACGCAGCATTCAATTCCCCTTGTTGCGCACCAGCGCCGGACGCAGACGCAGGACTGTCATGAGAGGGTAGGAAGGAGTGACGGGCGAGCACAGGCGCATTCCCCTCGAGCGCCACACTGACTCTGCGAGCTGCTGCGGCTTGCTCATCGCGGGCGGCGTTGCTGTCGGCTTGGCTTTCTGTCGCGGTCGCAGGCGGGTCGCAAAAGCGGTCGCTGCTGTCGACAGACGTGGACAGTGGCGTCAACGTGGCGGCGGCGGCGAGGGACATGTTCTGGGCTGGGCTCGCGCTGGTCGAGTTGTTCGTGGTGGAAGGCTGCGAGGACAGGAAGCCTTTCGCATCGTCATCGACGTCCGGAGAGGAGGCGACGCTGACGAGGGGAGCGTAGGGCGCCGTCATTATGAGAGGGGACGAGGGTGAGACCTCGCGGTGGGCTCCTTGAATCTGCTCTACAGCGTGGTGCGTGCTACGCGGGCCAGACTCTGGACGCACAGCTGGAGAGAGTCTGGACCAGTGATCGTGGCAGTGGTGCTGAAGCTGGAGCGGGTTTGTCTCGTATTGGTAGCGGGGGGGGCTTGCTAGGTCTTGAAGCTCGTGTTCCAGATTAACACGCTGGGTCGAGCAGGATCGGAGGCAGCACAGCGTGGATGTGTGGCAGACAAGCAAAACATATAGATGAAAGGGAGAAGATCGCTATCGTGTCGTGGGTTGAAGTGTCTTGGTGTCGTAAAGTCGGCGTGTCGCAAAGTGGTGGCAAGCGAGAGGGAGTGTCGTGGGGTCAGAAGCGCTGTCTCTCTCTCTCTATCACTCTCTCTCTCTCAAGCGTGGCGCGTCGGTCGGGTCCCAAGGGGGGGGAGATACAGTATGTAAGTTTGCGCAAAGCTATGGCGGTTCGTCCATGACAAGCCGAAGCGACAAACGGGCGATCTCCACGAAGGTTGCAATCAGTCAATCAGCGATGGAATTGTTGGTGGATGCGCGAGTCGGCGACCCTGGGACTGAGAAAAGTTTCAATGGCGTGGTGATGTTGACTTGTCGAAAGTATTTTTTTTTCCTCCTCCCCGCTTCGCTCGCTTCTTTGCTGAAGCAACGAAGACCAGGGATCCACGGAAAATAGCAACGAAGGATACTGGACAGGCAAGGCGAAGGTACACGCGCATGGAGAGACGGGTATGATACAGGAGACGGGAGGGCGGGCAGCAGGCGACGGACAGGGGACGGGCACTTGGGCGATGAAGAGTTATATCGGGCCCGCGCTGCAGCTTGGTTCTATCGCCTGGCCGTTTGGAGTATGGAGTACTTATGGAGCAGGAGCAGATGGAACAGCAGGGAAGGCACAAAGGCTGTTTGTTGGTCTGGCACTTTCCTCTCCATCTCGCATCCTGCGCTTGCGCCTGCACCCTCAAGTACCTACATGCTACAGTACCCAGTACCTTGTCCGTACCTGCCGACTCTGTAATTCGATCCAAGGTCCGGGGCAGCAGCGACCTCTTGCGACCAACCCTACGTGCCTACTCTGGGCAACAACCAGCTGAGCCGAGTGAGTGAGTGCCTCCGCATGGCGAGGGCAGATGACTCGAGGGCCAGGTGCCTATGTACCTAAGGTACCTTAGGTAGGTAGGTACTTGGGTACGTAGTAGGTAGGCCAGTCTCTTCTCGTTCTTTGCTTTTTCGGTCTTCATCCTCCCCCAGGTCTGTACCGAATCTGCTGTGAATTGTTGTCCGACTTGCGTTTTTAGCGTCTGCATCTAGGCGTCTTTGGGATGCGCCAGCCGAATGGCAGCGGATGGGTTTGCGCTTTGCCTCTTTTTTTCCCGCCCTTCGACGGCTCTGGCTTGGTGCTAGCACCCGTCGGCGGCGACTGATTCATCGAGTCTCTTTTCGGCCGGCAGGGTTTGGGGGCTTGCTGGTTGAGGGGGGCCCTGAGAGGCCGAGAATATACTTTTCTAGCCCCCTTTTCTTCACCATGGCGACGTTCCACGGTTCGGTACCTTGCTGCTCGAGTCAAATAACCAGGACGAGCACATGGCGACGACAGATGGCCCCGAAAGCCCCCATCAAGTGGATCACATTTTTTGCCATTTCCTTTGTTCGTCCAACTCAAAATTCGTCACCCCAACTGTACATGATACAAGTACATTTGCCCTTGCGCCCAACTGCCAGCGACAGGGTCTGTCCTACCCGACGACGGTGCCTATCTGGTGGCTTGCTGACGACGGGTGGATGCTGGTGTTGCTTAATCTCACTGACAGCGCACACGCAGACGCCCAGATGCCGCCCAGCACATGCCCTGGGCACTGTGGCTCTCAACGGCCAGCGCGCATCGCGTTCGACGCATCAATGACAGCGCCATGGCTGCTCGCTGCGTGGCGTGGGCGGTGTGCTGTCCCCAGCGTTGGGTTGTCCATGTCAGTAAGTACCTCGGTACCTACAGTGGCTACCAGAGGTAAGGCACCCATCTAGGTACCTAGGCACTGGGAGGTAAGGTACCGATTGTAGGTAGGCAGGACGCAGGCCAGGCGATTGTTTCCGCGAAGGCATTGCGCCCGAAAACCGTTGACTTGCTCACCCGCCTCTCATCCCATCTCATTTCTCCCACTCGCTCCATCGTTGGTCCTTGTTCGTTGCTTCCCGTTTTACTGTACCGTTCCTGTCTGTGGACATGTGTTCTCCAACAATGGCTCCACCGCATCTGCCCTCTTCTACTCTTCGTCTCTCTTTTCGACAACCAGAACTGTCTCATCACGAGCCCCCTGCCCCGCTTCCGCTTCCGCTTCCGCTCCCGCGCCACAGAAGACTCGCGGCAGTCGACCCTCCAGGCGATGGGCGATGGGCGATGGGCGATGGGCGATGGGCGATGGGCGATGGGCGATGAGCGATGGGGACGGAGCAGGGCAAGACATGTCAGCCGGGTGCTCCGTTTGGCCCAACGTTTGCACGAGGGTCAGCTTAGCGCCTCGGACGGTGGGGACCATGACCTCGTGTGTGGCTCACACGACGCTCAGCAGGGCAAAGTTTGGGCTGCGGCTTCCAAGGCCCCCGCTTCCGCCCAGGGATGTACTATGTACGTCCCCGCCTGCCGCTGCCGTCTCCCAGGCACAGGCACTCCCAGGAGGTTCTTGCCTTGTTCGGTGCGCGCATGCCAATCAGAGATTCAGCTTACCCACCCACAGAAGCCCACCCGTCGTGTTCTGGGCCCTGGCCGTTCCTGAACATCACTCCACTGAGCGACGGGTATTGGCCCATGCCTCCCCTGTCTACTGCCTCTGCCTCGCCTCGACTTCCCGGCTTGCCAGGCAGGCAGGTATCGCCTACTCCTGGTACCGACTGCCCTACTGATCCTGTTTTGGGGCTCCTGCAGCGCTCGGTGAGACGTGCCTCGTGCTAGCATCGATGATCGGTCAGCCCGTTCACAAGGCGGGTGACAGCAGCTTTCAAATGGAACACGCTCTTGGAACATGCCCTTGGAACAAGCAAGCTTCCACATGGCAGTAGCAGAGCTGCAATGCGCAGCTTGGATCTGCAGCTCGTCCTCGTCAGCATTTGGCCCAGCTCTGCACGATGCGTAGGTATGGCTGACTCTTCCTCCAGACAAAAGAGGGCCTCCCAAGGCCTGCCGAGATTGACATCGACACGTCTGATGGAAGAATGACATCAATCGCAACAACAAAAAAAACATTGCGTCCTAACGTAGCACTGTTGTGGGCATTATCACCGTCCACGTATGCGAACCTCGGCGAAAGACGTTTCGTCTGTTGTACGACTCTACGCCTCTTCGTGACTGCATACAAAACGCGCAAGACCCGGGCCCGAGATCAGGGATCCAGATACCCAGAATGACGGCTGCCACCCTTTGCTGCCTGTCCACCCGCGCCCTCATAGGCCGCATTCGTCTTTCGCCAATCTTGAGACTCATTTCCCGGCCAAGGCACGGATGCCGTTTCTGCAGCCTGGTGCTCCCAGTCGAAATGAGGTACGCGTACGACGATAATGGGACAAGGCCATTATATTTGCTGGGGCTTGCTGGCAGCACTTCTCCATGTCGCCGCCTTACGGTGACGGATTGCGTCTCGGGCCTAGCGTGGACGCTGTCGTTTCGTGGGTTCACTTGTTCGTTGAGGCGGGCGCTGCCACGACGCGACCCTGGCGATTGACCAGTTTTACGGCATGAACTTCGATATGGGCTTTGTCTACAGCCAGACGGTCAAAGCTTGACGAATCCTCGGTTTGCATGTCGTCGATCAGTCTGCACACGAACCCTGCGCCTCAACTGCCGCGATCCTCGCTTATGTGCACCTGCCGGTTGTCCAGTGATCATCAGTAACACGGTAACTTTCACAGACGGCATGGCCTTCGAGCTCGGCCAAATGTCACCCGGGCACTGGGCGCCAGCTGAATTTGCGACCCATGGTTCCCGCAAGCTCGATTGTACTTGGAACATTGACTACTCCGGCACCCAAGAACAGCGGCGCCAAAGCTGCAGGTAAGCTATCGGATCAGCAGCGGAAAAGTGTTGCTTCATGCAATGCATCGTCAAGAGGTCACCGACGCCGACGCCGACGCCGACGTGGTAGCTGACCATACTGGTTCACCCGACTCGGTGAGTGTACTTGTGGCGAACCAAAACCCGAAGATAAGCCCGTAGGATGCAGCCTCGCCGTGAACCTGTCGCGGGCTGCCCTGGCGCGCTGCATCGCCCTCGGGATTATCAGTGATCCAATTTCAGCATCATGATAAGGGTATCTTGAGATTTACGCTGTGCTACTAGATGTCCCACGCAATAGCCATGCTAGGAAAGGAGCACGGTTGTGTGTACGTGTATCGCGTGTCTTTGATGTATCGCATGTCTCTGGCGGCATGGGCGCTGCCCTTTCGGAAATTGCCAGGAGACATTTAATCAGGAGGTGCGGCCTGAACTCGATTTCCATCACACGAGCTTGCGAACGCCAACTACGTCTGCCTGATTGGGCAAAAGCATTGGCCCTTTCATAATCTAGTACAGAGGCAAGCGTGCCATTGTCTCTCTGGAGACGAACCCATCGAACAGAGTAGTGGCGGCTATCGCGGACGACACATGACCCAAAGGCTGGTTCTCATGATGGCTTGCTGTCCCCGGGCTCTTGACATGTCACACCGCACCAACTTGATATCGCATCCCAAGTGCCGATCTCCCTGAGACAATGCCAGCGTGGCGAACCACCACTGCAGATTGCTGCAAATGTACGAGGCGTCGGGGTCGGTGTGTCTAGTTTGCATTGCCAAATGTCACTGCGCAAGCACGCCTCGGAGCATTCTGGAGAAGGGGACTTCTGAACCCCAACCAAGATCAACAGACAGCTGTTATCAAGGCGTTGAGCTTTATGCACTCTATCGTGCTATCTCTCGTTGTCTTCAAATACGAACAAGCTGCGTTGCAAAGCAAATTTAGCTTGGCACGCGTTTTGGCTTCAAGCATTGATATCGACGCCCAACGCCAAATAGTCACCGTTCGATCTGCGGCTGTTCAGGCTGCTGTTGTGGACACTTTGCTGGCCTCTTCGGTCTCCTGCAACGGCTGGGAGGGGTGCCATATCCTGTGGATTCCAAGATAGATGAAGATCATAAGCACGATGTACTCAACCAGGAGGCACGTCAACGCAAAGGCGGCTGCCGATCCGACGAGGGGATTCCATATGGTGTTCGGATCGTGAATGGTAAACGCATACAACAGGCCATAGGCAGTTCGGACAGCCAAGAACGGCACGGAGACGAGCGCAAAGCGGATATACTGCTCTTAGTCAGTTTTGTCGTGAGCGTGACGCTGGGGAAGACAAACTCACGTAGCAACCGCTGGCGGAGATGCGGTGCGTCTGGGTCAGGAGGTACACCATCTCTGCCGTGGCCAGAGCGAGAATCGCCGCCAGAATGACATAGGCGGCCTTGGTGAGGATCCTCGCCGTCGCGAGGGAAGAGTCGTCGCTGCTGATGCCGCCGGCGACGGCCTGAAGGACGATGGCGGCGAGGAAGGTGAATCGCACGGCCTTGAGGAACTGTCGAGCACGAGAATTCTTGTCGAGGCTTGAGTTGAGACTGGACAAACAACTAGTCAGCTGGCTCCTCATAGTGCGGACAATACCGGGACGAGGCCATACGTGATACGCATGATGCCGATTAATGACACGAGGAGCGGGATCAGCCCAACGTTGAGGAGGACGCTATCGGCAATAATGAGGCCAATGTCGCGAGGCTGCGGTCCCCGGATGATGGAGATGATGCCGCCAGCGAGACGTACTGAGGGTTGTTAGCTTCACGGCTGATTGTGAGTGAGTTGAATCACTGACAGAGGCAAAATGTCACCAGGGGATACCCTGCCATTCGAGGCGGCTGCCGCCAATTCTTAACGAGGACAAAGATTGCCGTTGGTAGCATGGGGGCGTAGAACATCACCTGGGCGATGCCCACTGCTGCTTGAGGGTGTACCATTGTGCGAAAGTGACGATGTCGTAACTTGAGTCGATGAAGTTGCAATGATTAGATGAAGTATGGTGTATTGCTTCTTGGGATAGTCTTGGTGTGTTATATATACACCAAGTCCTCCCATATGCCCTCACTCATTCGCTTGCACGCAAGAGGCCGCCATCTAGCCCTCTGTTCTGCCGTCGGTGTTGTTCTCTTCACTTGCGTCGTCATGCCTCGAATAGGTGCCTACTTCTAGGTCAGGTTTGGACCCTTAGTCGGATGATCGGCACACGTCGTTCTCACATTGCTGTGCTGGTCTGGTTTAGCTGGGCCCCCAAAAACGGGCTGTCCGCGGCTAACGTGCCGAGCACAGCCCTACGACATCCATTTCGAGTTAGTGGTTCGAGCACCGGTAACTACGCCATTCGGAATGCCTCGAAGTAATGGCGAATTGGTCGCTTTCCGCTCTTTGTGTCATCGCATTGCGCGTAGATGTCCTGTGGGAAGCTTATGCACCCCGTCACGTATGCTCCTCGTTACCGGAACACGCTGGTGCCCCTGCGTTCTGTTCTGGACTATCTTGAGGGCGCAGCTGTCGAAGCTTCATATCCGCTCCAAATCCGGGTGGGGTGGCCTCAATCGCGCGTTTGTTAACCTACGTATTGCGTTCCAGTTGAGTGCCGTGCATCCGTCTCATCTAAGATCTGGGGTGGCGGCCCAAAGTTTAAGTTCTTCTGCCGGATAGCATGTTTGTTAAGCAGCTTATGATTATTGGACATCATATTGACCAGAATGCCAACGGCCGTACATGAGTGCGCTAAAGGGTCCGCAGGAGGCTTCTGTTTACGTTGCCGACTTGCTGAGCGGGTGGTGCACAGCGTTTTACCTTGCAGTGGCAGAGGACCTTGCTACTCATCCTTGACGGGTGTTCATGGGCAGGTAGTTCATCTCATGCAGACATGTCAAGTCAATCATCGTCAGGTGTCAGAGCATTGTTTAGAGCAGAGTGAAGAGGTCTCCCACACGTGGTCCGCAGCAGATAGAAGATAGGGAGGGGTTGGAATACATCTGAATTCTGGCCCTCCGCAGCTTTGAGGGCCCTCCGCAGCCTATATATATATACGTTGCTCGTAGCCCTTAGCCCCTGGTCGACCCCCTGCTTGGCGACTCGGTGGCGACTCCGCATGGTCTCCTGACATGAGGTAGCTCATGTGATAAAAATGCCCTGGCAACAGGACTTTTGCCATGGATTCTTCGTCGTACTATTCAAGTAATTAGGTCTGCCGCTCAATCTGCATGTGAACCTGCATGTGACGTATACAACCCCCGTGATCTGACATTTGGTTGCTTTATCAAGAGAAGAGCGCAGTAGGTAGCCTGCCTAACCCCGCCTCTGCTCTCAGAGTCTCGTCGAATGCTCAAGTAAGTTACCCAAGCATAGAACGACACGGACGCTTTCTGAATCTTCTAGATGTAACAGACGAGGAATTGCTGCTTAAAGCGTTAACATAGCATTGAATGCCATTCTGCAAAGTGATCAGAGTTGTACTGGGAGTTGTTGCCGATCTAGTGGAGATGAGCATCTGACTCTCTCGCATGTCAAGCAGCTAGCAAGTATCACACCAAGGCCTCTCGGACGACGTGCGTGAGTGTGAGGTTTCTTGCAAATGGTTTAGATGCGTCCTGTTCATCAGCCACTATCCGAGGAATTCGTACTGATATTAATGGTCTCTCTGATTTCATTAATCTCTGACCTCCTCGAGTAGATATCTGAATGAGAATAGAACATGCTGCTGTGTGAACGATATGAACACCGAGGTAGTCTATGACACTTATTGTCTATGCTATTTATTTGCTCCTGGCAAAATGGTAGAGAGGAGACAAATTCAACGCGGGTCTAATCCCCCCTCTACCAGAGGGTATAAGAGCACGTCAAGGCCGGGGCTTAGCCTAGAGTCAAGAAAGAAACCAAACAATTACGCTACACTAATTTACGAATTTGATCAAGTTGGACCGGAGCTAATGTAAAACTGTCAAGTGACTCTGCGAAGCCACAGAACAGGGAGTGAAGAGGTCTTCCACACGTGGTCTGCAGGCGATAGAAAACAGGTATGGAGTTGAACTACATCTGAATTCTGAACTCTCGCAACTAGGGGGCCCTTTCGCAGTTCTTGTATGGGCGTTCTCGCAGTTATTAGACTTTGACTAGCCCGCTCTTGCGTAGCTCCGCAGGTGCCTCCTGACACTTTCATTCGCTACTCTGCATGCAACCATCTTAGCGTCAACAAAGGCAAGCAGTCACCAGCGTCACAAAATCAGACCATACAAGCCACACAACATGGCAGACCGAAACCAGATGCAACAGCCTCATGGTGTCGCTGGCGACTCAGTCAACATCCAATCATAGGTTCATCGAGTCAGCGCTCACCTTAGTTCTACCATTGCTAGCAATTTCAGCATCATCACTGCAGGTATCTCATCGCAGCGGTCTCAGATGCCAGCTAGAAAAAGCCCCTCCAATACGGTCCAGCGGCCGCCGGACAGGCCGCCGCCGCCGTTTGCGGACATGCCGGTCGCGATCTCGATGAAAAAAAAAGAGGTCACGCTGCCGCCCGCCGCCCAGACTCTGTCTCAACAGCCCGGCCAGCCGTGTGCCGGCCCGGTTGCACTTTGTCACGCAAGCAAGGTCTAACTGCGTCGCCCGTGCAACTGTGGCGTCCCGCCCAATCTCACCGCCACAACAGAGATAAGGCGCAGATCGCAAACGAGAGAGGACTCACCTCCCCATCGCCGGCATCGCTGCTCTGCGCATGTGTGCCGCTGGTCCTGGCGGGAAACCAAGCTTCAAGTGCCAGCGAAACGCGGGGAGAGACAGAGAGCCCCTAGCACGGGCCGCGGCCCCCCTCATCCTCCCCGGGGACCTCTGGGCCCAGGTTCCGGCGCGCGCCTGCCCCGCTGGCTCGCGCGGCCGGGGGAGGGGAGGGCGGTGAGGACGCAGGGTGACGGGGCTGGTTGCGCGAGCGCGAGGGGTGGGCCAATCGTCGGGGCGACGGACGGCGCGTGGTTCGCGAGTGCTGGTCATCGGAAGGGAGAAGGTGAGGGTATCGTGAAGGCGGGTTGGTCGTCGGTCGCGTAGGATGCCTGTTGAGAGTGACACATGCTCAACAGGTGGCGTGGGTAAGCAAGAGATTGTTGGGCTGAGGTCCACGATTGATGAGCACGTCAGGCCGCACGCCGGAATCGCGTGAGAAGAGGCCCCCAATCAAGTCGACCTTGATACATCGGCTGGCTTGCTTGGGAGTGGTGAGAAGACATGAGGGGTTGATGCTGAGTAACGGGGATGGATTGGCATGCCGTGTCACGAGAGATAGACAACATACTGCTATCGTGCAGTTCGTCAGGAGCTCTGCCGTCCTAGTCTGGTAGTCGAGATCATCTCGTATACTATAGTGCTTCGTAGATTTTCGACAATCCTGGAAGACCAACTAGGCACTACTCCTATCGTAGGAAGCTCGTGCTGAAGCTTGCATTTGAGCTATGTGCCCCCCTTGCAAGCACGCTCACCGACCTGGTGCTGGACTGTGTCCTATGGAGCAGGCCCCATCGCATATGCCCGGCGATGGGGTCGAGGTGCAGCAGTTTCGGGCCTGCTGGCATGCAGACCCAGGAGTCTCGAACGAGCTGGCGGCGGGCGGGACCGTTCCGACGAGATGCAGACTGGGCGTTGGATGAGTTCATCGATTCTGGATCCAAAGCCATCTGGTCGCTGGATGGGCCTTGACAGAGACAAACAGAAAACCAGTCTCTACTCTCTGTGTCAGTTCTCAAATGAAGAGAGGGAGGCCATGTCTCTTTCGGCAAGGGCTCCGAGCTCGCCCATGGGGAAGCCATGTTATGTGAGCTGGGGGGAACGTGGGGGTTCTTTGCTTGAGGGGGGTTGTTGAGAGATGCATACAGTGAGTAGCTGGCGAGGAATGAGAGCAGCCTGTTTGACTGAGGAACGCAGCATTCGGCAGCTGCCAACACACAGATGAGGCGGGCTTTTTCTGACAGGTGATCGATCATCCCTGTTCGGAACCTGCGGGCTCTACTCACTTACTTTATTACCAGCACACACACCTCCTCTGTCCCAAGATGGTCTGGCATGACGAGCGAATACAACCAAGCCTGGAACCCCCGGCGATTGGTGCTGCAGCGGAAGACATCCGGAGGGTGTGGCCGCTAATCTGGGACAGGAAGAGTCAAGAGCAGGTACCAGGTCCCGGCTCGGCGACGTGCGTCTCCTCTGTCTCCGGCCTCCGCATGTTGAGTACTGTTGCTTCGGAAAGCCTTGCTATGAGCACGTCAGTGGCTGTCATTTGGTGATGCAACCAGACAGAGAGGTTCGAGGCATTGTTCAAGAAATAGAGAAAAAAAAACACCGCCAAACCATTAGAGTCGCGCGACGATGGGTTGTATGCCTGGCTTGTCATTTCTCGAGTCGTGGTGTTGCCTCTGGTGATGGTCGCTGGAATCGGGAGGGGGTGAGGGGAGGGGAGGGGAAGAGGTACCCCCCCATGGGCTCGGGACATGCGGCGAAGGCCACGATGGCAGCTGATGGGCAATCAAACTCGCCTCGACTGGCGCGTGCCTGGACCAGTTTTGTGAACCAGTTTTTTGACTTGCCCAACGTCTTGTCTCCGTCTCCAATTCTGGCCCTTCGATTTTGCCCTTTCTTTGTTCCGTCTTCTCAGCTCCGCCAGCAGCAACATCGACCATAAATACTACATTGCGGAACCTTAGGAAAAGAAGAGTCTGGACCCCAGGTGTCTAGGCCCTGTTGCTGAAAATACCTACCAGATAAGGACAGCCCAGCAGCTATGAGCCTAGAAGAGACAGAAGGGGGGGGGGAGCCGAGATGATGTCAACGGTATTGTGCTTGGATGCATGGAGGCATGGGAATGCAAGGCGCTGTGAGAAGAGGGGGGGGACCCTTGTAGGCCCTGAGGCGAGGTACTTGACGTGATGTACCGGCCCTGTGCGAGGCGTGTGCGGCGACTGTGCTTCGAGAAGAGCGACATCGGACGACCAGGTGGCCATGCCCTGAGAGCAGGTCTGTTCAGCGGTGCCTTCCACTGGCCAGCCGAGATAACTTCCGCCACTCGGTGCCCGAATGAGTCAAGAGCCGTGCCATCAGAGTCTTCTTCGCGCTGCTCGCACAGTCAAGTGACACGTATCTACCCCAGAACGGAATCCCCAACTCACTGTTCCACCGCCTTTCCCCCACCCACACCATCGCCTAGGTACTGGGCTTGCTATAGTAGGCCACCACCACCACCACCACCACCACTGCCAGGCCAGCCTGCCCACCCACCACGCTCTGTCAGGGCACCACGAACGAGAACGAGTCTTATTATCCCATCGTCAACCTGTGACCGCTCCTTTGGTTCGCTCAGGGCTCTGCACCTTTTTCGTCCGGCCGACGGACTCTTCTTGACCTGTCGTCTGGGAGGCTGCCACACCTCCTTCTTCATCTCCCTACACAAGGACGACACAACGATACCCTCTCCTCCCCCTCCTCACCAAAGTATTCTATCCCGTCGAGTGCCCTCTTTCCTTTCCTGGGTCGCACGACAGGCGAGAAACTCCGATCAACCCCTCCACCTCCTTCTGCCCCCTTGTTGAGAGATATTTCTGCTCTCTTCCTCAACCACCACCAACTACGACGCTTCTTCGGATTCCTTTCCACTCTTTCATGTCTTCGGACCAATTTGGCTCCTTTGATTCATCACAAAATTCTCGGAGCGAGCACGCTGATCATCGACGACCCCTCCACAATACCCTGATCGAGACGCGAGAACGTGTGCTCGCATGCCCATACCCAGGGTGACTCCGACGACAACAGCCAGCATTGACAGATTCCGACATTGATCTATTTTGTGTTTCGGACACAGCGGCCACGAGAGAGATAGTCTGGTAAAAGGAACGACTCTCACCCACACACCACAATGGCCGATCCGGCACCCCCTCGCAGGCGGTTCGTCCCTGTACCTATCGAGACGACTTTCCAGTCAGTCCGTAGCCAGGCCCCTAAGACGCAGCCTGGCGGACACACAGACGAGCTCACGCCCGAACCGTCGCCTCGCGATCAGTCGCCCGACCCAGTCGTCTTCCAGCCTGGCAAGAGGCGGTTCGCCCCTCAGCTGATCGAGACCTCGAGACGAACCCGCCGCGTCGGAGACACGGGCCCCGCCACCAAGCCCGCTGATAAGACCGACATCACCCCCTACACGAATCACATTTACGTCCAGCGCAACAAGTCGAGACGGAAACCCCACGACCAGTCCTCGCACAACCAGACGGTCCTGCACAAGGGTGCCAGGCGTGAATCGGAAGATGAGAATGCAGGCAACTATGTGTTGGAGTGGGCTGCAAAGGAGGCCGAGCGCCAGATGCACGAAGATGCCCTCGCTGCCTTTCCCAACAGCAGGGCGCGGGAGGGTGGCGCCGCCCATTTCTACTTCCGCGAGAGCTCCGGCGACGATTCTCTGTCATCGAGCACATCACCCGTGCCCCTCAGAGAGCAGCCCAAAGCCCTCCATGGACGCCAGCCCCGTGCCGCGCGGCGGAAGTCGTCTGACCTGGGCTACTGGCACAAGCACATGCAGGAGCACGCGGAAAAGGTGGCGGCCGAGCGCGGCGACACCATGCACGATGTGGATGCAGATGGGGACCTGGACGGTGATGTCGATATGGACGATTCGGAGCTCGACAACATGGTGCTCGACAGCCCCCCCGATCCCATGTGGACGACCGACTCGCGCAAGCGTTCGCAACCCGGAGCAGCACGCGGTCCCATCGGCGAGACCTACATGCCTCTGGTGGGCTCCACGACAACGGTCCTTCAGGAAACGAAGACTGCCCAGGTCGGCCCTGCCGGCGCGAGCTCATCGTCGGCGACGGGAAGACCCATCGGAGAGTCACACATGCCCCTTGTACCGCCGTCCGTCTCGGGCATACCCGCTACGTCCCGACCGGCGCACCTCCCTTTTGTCAAGCCCTCGCAAATTCCGCCCGAGACGGGCTTCCGAAACGTGGCAGGCGGCTTCGTGCCAAGGCCCTTTGGCCGTGCTGCCCAGGAGGACGCCAACCTCAGGAGGATGAGGAGTGCTGCCTCACCGCCCATGCTCGGCAAAGAATTGACTTTCCGAAGGTGCCCGTCGCCCAAGCTAACAAAGCTTGAGCCCAACCACCCATTCAAGGAAGTCGAGTTTATGGAGGACATCAACAGAGACGCCACCGGCGGAGGTGGCCTCTGGAGGGGCTACTGCTACAAGGACAGCCGCAACAGCACAAATATTGTGCAGGCCGAGCTGCAACCCCCTACCGTCATGAGGACCCCCATGCCGTCGACGCCCGGCGACCCCTTTGCCCAGGCCTTCGGTCGTGGTTCCATGAGCGATGAGCCCGAATCGAGCAGTCAAAGCTCTCCCCCGGCCCCGCCGGAGCACCGTCTTCGGTCCGGCGAAGCCAAGGGTCTGCACATGCTGCACGGGCTCGAGGAGAAGCTGAAGCGCGAGAAGGCCAATGTGGAGAGGGAGGATCGCATCCACAGCGAGTTCAACGATGCCTTCATCACCCAGGTCTACAACTACCTGTCGCTGGGGTACCCCGCCATGGCCCGCAACTTTGACCAGGAGCTCTCCAAATTCGCCAAGGTCAGCATCGCCGACCTGCGGGTCGACGACGCCAGCCAAATGGCCCACGGACACGTGGTCGAGGCAGCGCAGGTGCCTGAGGACCGGCGCTGTCCCCGATGGAGAGCCCTCAAGGTCTACATCCTGGAGTGGGCTCATCAGCATCCCAACCTCGACACACTCGATCCCCTGGCCTGGGGCGTCCGTGAGCGCCGCGGCAGCTGGGCTATCTGAGTTCGAGACCCGAGATTGATGACCCAGACCGCATGACCACCAATGCGTGTACACACCTTCCATTGACACAATTTTGTCATGGATTGATTCTGACCCAACTATTGGACCTAACCTACCTGTAATTCGAGCGAGCGGTTACTGCATGCCTAGGGGCGTTTTTTTTTTTCAGAGCTTTACTAGATGGGTAGACAGAGATAAACCCAGACATGATATATCTTTTTATACAATTACGATCTGTACTGCGCTCGAAGGCTATGCGCCTCGGTGTCGAAGTAATTTTTGTGCTCGTGATCGCTGTGCTCCGGCCGGCTCTTGACATTGACACAGCCCGTATTGAATTGGCTCGTTGTCACTTTTTGATACAGACCAGTGCTGCGAGAGCAAGCAGGTCGATGCAAACATGATGCAGATGATCAAGACGGAATAAGGCGTACATTTATATGAAGCGCAAGCGAAAAACGCCGAGGCATGTGACAAATACAGTTCTATGCCATTATAGACAAGACTACTGCGCCACGAGTCTAACCCGGGACGCTGCCAATTGACCGTCGTGGCCGTTCATGCCAGACGGACGGATGGGTCGCCAGTGATGTTGATCCAGGGGGGTGCTCCTGCACGGCTCGTCTTTTCAAAGCCGGTTCCACCGTCGTCACCCTGAATCCCTTTTCTCTCTTCTTTTGAATTGGTCTGCCTCCACCCAAGCCTGCCACACATTCACGCACACACGGGTGCACAGGCTCAACGTCTCTTGCCAAACGAGCGAGCCGTCTTCCTCAGCTTCGAGGGCGGCGCGGCCTCGGCATCGCTGTCCTCATCCTCATCCATCGAGTCTTCGACATCAAGGTGGTCGACATCATCCTCATCAAGCACCTCCTCGCCGTCATCGTCGCTCTCGGGCTCCTCGACGTCCGAATCGTCATCGTCAACGTCCGAGTCGGCAGCGAAGCCGTTCGTCCCGGGCACATCGTCATCCCCCTCCTCCAGCGCCAGCAGCGCACCGTTGGCCTCGGCAATGGCAACGTCAACATCGGCCTCCTCGCCCTCGACGTAGATGGCGCCCTCCTCGTCTTCGTCGTCGTCGTCCTCCTCGTCGTCGGCACCGCGGCCGCCGCCGCGCTGCCTGCTCTGGCGCAGCTGCATCTGGGCGTCGAGCATGTCGAGCTTGCCCTTGAGGGCGAGCAGGCTCGGCAGGCCGCGGGCGCGCTCGTTGAGGACCTTTTGCAGGGCGACGAGGCGGTCGAGGACCTTGGGCTGCAGGGCGAGGGCGCCGCCGTGGGCGACGAGCGTCCACTTGACCCAAGCCATGAGGGAGCCGGCGCGGCCGGGGCGGCGGTGGAAGCGGGCGGCGAGGCGCGTCAGCAGGACGCCGGCGAGGGCCGAGTCGAGCCGCTCAATGGTCGCGTGGATCGACGGCGTGTCGGTGATTTGCAGGCACGACTCGAGGAGCTCCGTGTCTTCGGTGCGGAGCGCCTGCGTGAGGACTGTGCTGAGGGAGGAGAGGGAGGGGGGGTCGAGCGGCGTCGTCGTCGTCGTCGCGAGTGTCGTCGTCGTCGTCGTCGGCGCGGCGGTCAGGGCTTGGGAGGCGGAGGAGGCTTTCGGTGCCGAGGAGAGGGCTTGTTGGGAGAGGATGGCGGGGACGTCGATTGTGCCGCGCAGCAGCTCGCCAAAGGAGGGCGACGTGGCGTCCTCGGCGTCCTCCGAGCCGGCGTCTGCTGTGTCTGTCGTTGTCGCGTGTGTCGTGCTGTTGGCTGCTGCTGCTATTGAGGGAGCGGCGCCCGTCGCCTCGACGCCGTTCATGAGGTTGTCCGATCCAGCCCCGTCGTCCGAGGCATCCTCTTCGTCGTCGTCGTCGTCGCTGTTCGAGTCGGATGATATGTCGATCGTCTCTTGCGTCTGGTTGCGGGCCGAAGCCTGGATGTTGTCTGTCGAGGAGACGGCCGTCCTGCTCTCGTCGATGCGGGCTTTGGTCGGGACTTTGATGGCCGACTTGACGGTGGGGGGCGCGAACCGCGCTGATGCCTTTCTCTTGGCGGACATTGTTGTGGCAGATTCCCTGGGTGCTGCAGAGACCTTTTTCTCGTCGTACGGATTGAGAGGGCAGACGAGCGATTGAGGGGGCGACAGGGTGCAGAAGAGTCTTGTTGAGACAACCTCTGGATGCTGCCGAGAGAGAGTCTGGAGGTGCTGCTGCGGTGAACTTTTTTTCTGGGCCCTGCCAAATTTTCCAGCAGGACTGGAGCGGTCGATGCAGGGAAGCGGGTCGGTGGGGGATGACTAAGGGCACGTGATGCTCATTCTCGGTGTGGGCCACAAGCTCACCGACTGATGATGGCAAGGATGGGGATTGGGGGGGGGGGGGGGGGGGGTCATTGATGCTTGCGGCGCAGCAGCCAGGAACGCCACGCCCATTTCTGCAGACCGCACCCGGCTGGTGGTATTTCACGTGTGCGACGCATGTGGCGCATTCCTGGGCCAGTAGTCATCTGACCTGCGCGGCTGTGACCGCTCATCCAGCAGAAATCTTGACCCTTCTGGAAAGCCTCGTCCAATCACAGAAGCGTCGCATCACCTTTTTGTCTAGCCATCCATCTGGCCGGTCGACGCTGCAGATCCGGCTTTGTGTCGCAAGACTCTTCTGTGCTTCTGTGGGAGGGACCTATTCGTAGATGGCGCAACCTTCTATCGGAGGGTTGCATCAGCAAATTCTCAAGTACCAAGATACCAATGCCATCCATGCTTCCTCTGGCAGTCTCTCGTGTCCCCCAAAGCTGAAGCTCGGGGTGGGTGATGGGGTGGAAGCGTCAGGGCGGGCTGGCTGTATTTAGTCCCAGGACGAATTTCTACTGGTTTTACCCAACTCTCCCTCTTTCTAACCTTCTCGGTGGCCTGTGCGTTCATCTTGCCCCGCCACATCTTGAATTGCAGCCACATCTGGATCCTTCAAGCTTTTGCTTCCTTGCCTTCCTTTCCTTCACTGCGCATGCGCAAGTGCAGCACAAAAACTTGAAGAGGCCCATTTCGAGTGAGTCAACACTTTTCCCATTGTTGTTATGCGTCTTCACTTTCATCAAGATCATGTTTGATCGTGCGATCCTTCCTCAGCCACACCTCGAGCAACCGTCCCAGCCTCGTCATTCCCCTTTGGTCCCTCGTCATCGTCCAGTCCCCCTACAGCCCACCGTCGCCCCAACGCTGGCTCATTGGCTGCGCACCGCATAATTGTACATTTTGTGCGGGCCCCCCATGGCGACCTCCCAATGGGATCCCTGTGCTCCTGCCCCCCCTCCCCTCTGCACAGACCACCTTCCTTCTGTGCGCGCATGCCTCCATGCCTCCTGCCCAACCAAATTTTTCTCCAGCACCTGCCCTTGCCCCGATAAGGCCAGATAGCCGGCCACTCGGAGCTTGTCAGCTCCTTCTCATAAATAGGACGCGCCGCCAACCGGGACCAAAAACACTGACGTGCACGCGCTTTCCTCCGCAGGTCGCGACCCTCCGTACCGTACCGTACCTTAGCGACCACCACCCTCGCCGAAAAATAAAGAGGTACCTCTCACCATCATCAACCACACCATCCATACCACCACATAACGAATTACCATCATTTTCCACTTCGCACGATTCACTTCTTCGCGACCCACGCCCGATTCATCCACAGAGCCGAACACTTTCCACTCCGCCGCCCCCATCTCGAGTCCTGCCGGCTCCACCGACACACTCGTCGCGTGTTTGTATTCACCCCCCCGGTACCTCTGGAGCTGCATGCGCGATCGCCAGATCGCCAAGTACTCTCTTTGCGGCCTCTTGCGATCAACTTCATCACGGCACGCCTTCCAACCCTGCTCTATCCATCTCTTCAAAACAATTGCGATCAAGTCTCGAGCCTTTTGACGCGTCGTCGACGGCCATTCGCGTCGTCAAACGCCCCAGTTGGTCCACCCCATCGCCACGCGCCTTCCCTCCACAACCACGCCACGCGCCTGCAGTCATCACAAACGCTCATCCTCAACCACCTTGGCTCCTATCCATTACCGATTCGTCTGCGCAACACTTGGAAAGCGTATTTCGTCGATTGACGTCGCGTCTGGCGCGTTGATTAGTGCCCCTCCGCCCTGAGCGCATTCACCTACACCGAAGCCATGGCGTCCCCTCAGTCAGAACGGGCAGAGCCCGTCGACAAGGGAAGTGCCGCTGCATCTGAGAAAGCAGGCAAGCCTGAGACTAACGGGTACGTTGCTATTCTTTGCTGTACCTCTCTACGTGTTCCCTGTCCCACTCTTCATTGCGGCTCTCTGATGCTGCCTCATCCTGCGCGCCTGCATTCTGGCGCCCGCTGATACGCACCGCATGCCAACTGATGACTAACCGACTTGTGCCACAGCCATACCTCGCCCTCTGCAACCTCTGGAAAAGTCGCAACGCCCTTGACTAATGGCAACGGCAGCCACGATGACGCGTCGGAAAAGAAGACCAAGGACGAGCCCAATGCGAACGCAGCTGACACGGAGTCTGCCAACGTGAAGGGGTCTGCGTCGAGCCAGCCTGACTCTACGTCCGAGCCTACGCCATCAAAGGAGGCATCCGAGACTGCGAAATCGGCCTCAAAGTCGCCACAGCCGCCAGCATCACTGCCCCCGAAGCCTCCAGCGGCCGCCACAACAAACGACGGGACTCCCCAGGAGGAGTCGTCCCCAGCAAAGGATGCACCTATCCAGCCATCTATTGAGTCATCGAACTCGGAGGAAGCCACCGCAAAGACGACTGAGTCGAGCAAGCCAGAAAAGGCCTCTCCGCCGGACGAGGCGGACGACGTAGAAATGCAACTCGACTCGCCCGAACCCGAAGCCGCCCCCAAGTCACCAGCTGCAAAGCCAAACGGGACTGAACAGACGTCTTCGCCACCCACGTCCAACCCGACTGCAGATGTAGACCTGAAGCCAGAGAGCTTGTCCCAACTCGACCTCGATGGCAACAAGGGCTCTCCCTCGCCACGACCTGATGCTGACGTCCCTATGACCGACGCTCCAGCATCCTCGTCAAATAAGGTTGCGCGTGATCGTGAGGATGATAACGTCGAGGAGCCTGCTGCCAAGCGCGCGAAGACCGAAACCCGGGATGAGGAGCCAGAGCCAGAGCCAGAGCCAGAGCGCGCAGCGACGGCCGAGTCCACAGTCGAGGTGGCGTCTCGCCTTGATGTCACGACAGATGACGAACCCGACCCATTCCGCAATCTGAAGGGCTGGCATGATGCGGCTCTCAACTCGACGCCTGTCACGCAGCATCGGATTCGCGAGTACCGCAGGGTCCTGGCCGGTATCAAGAAGACGAAGCATGGTGCTATCTTCAAGGACTCTGTCGCAAAGATGTGGCCTCAACTTGGCGGAAACTATGCCGCTCTTGTCGCGAAACCCATGGACATTGGTTTGATGGAACGCAACCTGCGCGATGGGACGAAGTATCCCACACTCGGAGACCTCAAGGCGGATCTGACGTTGCTGTACAGCAACGCCGTGTCCTTCAACGGCCCCAGCCACGACGTCACACTCGCGGGGAGGAACGTCGTGCCGGCGATCTGGGCTAGGCTCCTGGATATTCCGGCCGAGGAGCCCCCCAAAGCAAAGGCGCCACCGAAGCACAACCCTTCGAGGCAGGCCGAACAACGACCGCCCGTCGCTGCCCCCCGACCTGCTGCCGCCCGTAAAGAATCGCGCCCCGTGCCTCCCAGCCCCGCCGCTAGACCCGACGCTGAGGCATATGCCGTGCCGCCTGGTGGCGTGCCGCAGGTCCGACGGGCGTCGACGCACAATGACACGGACAGGCCGAAGCGCGCAATCCACCCGCCCAAGAGCAGAGACATGGATTACATGGCGCTTCAGAATTTTAACAAGAAGAAGCTGCCGCTGGATCTGCAATTTGCCTACGAGGTCATTTCTTCCCTGATGGATGTCAAGCACGAGGCCATCAATGCACCCTTTGTTGTGCCTGTCGACCCCGTTGCGCTGCAGATTCCTCAGTACTACTCCCTCATCAAGAACCCCATGGACCTGGGCACCATCAAGAAGAAGCTCATGACAAACGAGTACCAGACCGCCAAGAGCGTTGTGGGCGACGTGCAGCTCATCGTGAAGAACTGTCTCAAGTTCAATGGTCCTGACCACCCCGTGTACGGGCTCGCCGTCCAGCTCGAGAGGCTTTTCCGCGACATGTGGAGCAAGAAGGAGCAATGGATCACCAAGCACACGCCGGCCAAGCCTGCCTCAGATGCTGGGTCGGGTGAGGACAGCGAGGAAGAGTCGGAAGACGAGCAAGCCGCCTCTGCACCCGCTGCTAAGATCACTAACGGGGCGATCCAGCAGCTCGAGCAGCGACTCGCGGACGAGACGAAAAATCTGTCACAGCTGCTCATGAACATAGACAACCCCGACGAGACGATGATTGATGTGCAGCGTACTGTCGTCAATGCCATCAGGAAGCGCCTCATCGAAGAGAAGGAGCGCGCCGGAACCCAGAAAACTGAAAAGCCGGCCAAGAGCAAGCCTGCAAAGCCAAGCCACAAGGCCAAGGCCCCCGGCAACGGTCCAAGCAAGAAGGCCGCCGGTGGCGCGTCGCACAAGAAGGGTGGTGCTTCAGGACCCAAGAAGAAGCGACAGATGACTCAGGTTGAGAAGGACGCCATCGCCAACGGTATCAACGACTTGGACGAGAACAATATTGCGCGGGCCATTGACATAATCAAGAAGGACACGGGTCAATCTGTACGTCATGACACCAACTTGGTCGGCCGCCGACATTTGTTTGCTAACCCGTGCCTGCAGGAAAACGACAGCGGAGAGCTCGAGTTGGAGATTGACCAGCTGACTTCCGATGCCCTTCACAAGCTGTGGGACCTTCTCAAGAAGGTTCTTCCCGGTTTCGCCGCCTCGGTGCATCCACCAGCGGCAGCCGCACGCGACTCGTCCCCAGGTAGCGCCAGCGGTGGCGGGCAGAAGAAGTCGGGCAAGCCGAAGAAGAACAAGCCCATGAATGCTCGTGAGCAAGAGGCACGCATTGCCGAGCTCGAGCGCCTCAAGAACCAGTACCAGTCAGGCCAAGAGCCTGCTGGTGAACGTGACCCTGAGGTGCCTCTTCACCCGCTGCGTGAGGACTCTTCTGATTCTGAGGAAGAGTGAGCCTTCGCGTCATGAGGTGGTTTGCGTGTCTACACATTGTTTGAGCATCGTGCGGCGGTTGTTCTCCGACCGGCTCTACGACTGGAGTGCAGCAGCCGCGCTTATCCGAGGGAACATACCATCGCAGCGAAGGAGCATCTATTGCCGCCGCGGGCTCTCTGGGAATGGCCGAGAGTACTCTCCATCATGAGGTGTGTTTCGGTGGCAAAGGCTTTTGGGGAGAAGAGAGCACCAGAGGACTTGACTAGGTTCTCCTGGTCGGCTGCATACTTCATATGCGCCGAGGGAAAAAAAAAGGCGTGGGGAGGTCGGTCTGAGGACCAAATATTAAGCGTTGCGTCGAGATTACTATTCTCTCGAGGCGGCAGGGGAGGCCGTGACCAATTGGTAGCGCAGGGAGGATGAAATGCGAGACGAGGCGTAATCGTGACGAAGAAAGCAAGCAGAGCATGATCTCAAGAGGGAGGCGTTCTGCGAGCGACTGGCCGCGTGAGGCAGCTGGTTGCGGTAACCCTGAATTGTACAACTTGACTCGTGCATGGTGTTCCTTTTGGTGCTCTCTGGGTGAATTTTGTCGCTGTGGTGGTGTTCAAAGCCACGTTGGAAGCTGTGTATTTTCGGCGGGTCTTCACAAGCTTCGATCACTCGCTTTCAGTGATCATTGGCAAAAGAATGAAGACCAGATGCCATCTTTGCTGTGAATCTGCCGGCCAGAGAGGGAGAAATCAGGGTTGTCGGTTCTGGTGTGCAGGTGAAGAATCGTGTTCCACAAAAGGGTCTATAACAAGTAGAGACCAATCTTGCACCGGAACTCAGTCACGCCACTAAGCGTGTTTTCGAGTTTCCGGGGCCAGTTTTCCAATGTTGCCTAGACAAATAAATTTCGACCTCCATCGAATGGCCTCCTGAATGGAGTTAGTCGGCTCAATCAAGACGCTGTTGTCAGTCATCCGCAACACCAGGACGACACCGCCGCTCAAGACGATGCCCAGCACGCAGCACCGACTGACGTACCCCTCGTGAAGGAAGAGAGGATAACGCGGAAACCGGTGCATGGATCACGCAGGCGCCAGCTCGTGAAAAAGCATCGAGCATGGCCGTGGCCCTGTCCGCCGTCCAGCGTGGTCCGTCCCCGAGGCAGATGCTGCCCTTCACCATGTCTCCCACGAATGCGCAGACCAAGGTCCTCACCTCCGGGTCGCCGCCATCGTGCGGCCCTTGCTCCAGCAGACCATGGCGCGTGCCGAGCCTCTCGCGAAGCAGTGTTTCCATGCCGGGCGGCGGGAGAAACGTGTCGATCGGTGTGCCGTTGGCCTCGCATGCCGCGAACATCATGCCGTGGAACCGCAGCGCAACGTCCGGGTTGTTCCCCTCTGGGCGTCTCGCGCCGCTTCGGTAAGCTCGCGGTTGTCGATGCCGGATGCGATGCGCGCCCTGCGGGCCATGGCGTCCTGCATCTCCTGGTTGCTGGCTCGCAGGCTGGCGATTGTGTTGATCTGGCGTCGGCGCAGGCAGCGAAAGGCTGCTGGCGCCAACGTCCCGCGTTCCTTCCGCCGCTGTGTAGGGCATGGCGTCTGTCAGAATCAAGAGACCGTCGGAGCGATGGGAGATGGGAGATGGGAGATGGGAGATGGGAGATGGGAGATGGGAGATGGGAGATGGGAGATGGGAGATGGGAGATGGGAGATGGGAGATGGGGCTAGTGACTGGCGCTGGACGTACGGCTGCGGAATCAACCCCGTCGGCAGGGACCGAGGGACGTCTTCTGACATGTTACTGATCGTGCGATCAATCCTGGAGGAGTGGGCTTGTGCTGTTGGGACACCCGAGTAAGTGGGGTGTTTGAGAAGGGGGGTTTCGTTAACGCTGTGCGCTCTCACGGGATGTTAGACCATGTGGAATCTGCTGCTGATGAAGGCGCGTGAGAACCTCACCAACTAAAAGCTGTCGTATTTTCGTTGCTTTTGCTTTTTGAAATGGCTTGTTTTGGATGAGGAGAGGCTCTACAACATGGCCTCCGAATACATGGCACTTGGTTTAAGTCCCTTCTCTCGAAGCACAGCTCGTCGGCTCCCGCTTCTTCACCGCCCTATCCGCTAAGAGACTACGTGGGACATTCAATGACAGGGAAACCGCGTAGAAGAATCAACATGACAAAGAGGGCCGGACTTGGACCAAAGCCAATTGGGTCTCGCTAGGTTTACAGGGTCGGCAGTGGCAATTGTCTACATAGCACAGGCGCCGAGTGTAACTCATGTTCCGGTTCATATTGAGAGTTTAGGCAGCTGCAAGGGGAAAAGACGACCGTAGAGGCTTGTGGCAAATGTCGCTTTCTGGAGATACTACTGAGCGTCACGATTCGTGCCGTTCCCTCTTCATGTTCCCTCCCTCTGTAGAGCGCTCGCTACCAAAGACGGGGCATAGAGTGGTGGGTTGGATCTGGCCAAACACAAATCAATGCTTCCGAACAAGCTAATGTAAAAGCCCGCTTGCTGAAGACTAATACCTACCATGGTGACGTAGGAATGGGCTTTAACGCCGGGTCAGTACCTCGTGGATACAAGATTGAATCATTGCTCCGACCCGACCACAGGCACCATGAGAAGATGATTGTTGTTCCATTCGCGTACCTAGGAAAGGATGTAAAGACACGACTCGTATGCTATGGGTACAATGGTTTGTAGGCAGTCATTCTCTTTCTTTTCCTGTTTTCATACACTCTTTTGATCTGCGAATACCTCCTAATCGAGAAGATCCATAGTAATGCGAGGTACTGAAGTAGGGCAAGTGAAGACCTCGTCTGATCAGGGCAATGAAGCAGTCATTTGAGGAAAAGAGAGGTCCTTGAACGTGTGATGTAGGATTGATGATGTGAGCGCCTTGGAGGTCCTCACAACGAGTCTCAACATGTCAGGAACAATGAAACAGGAAACTCGTCCACAATAGTTCTACAAAATAAAGGCTCCTGGTATTAGCTATAGGTGGCAGGCTTTGTGATCTGTTGCCTGTTCTCAGGCGGACAGGTCTGCACCGAGGATCATCTCTACATAGCCCCAACTTGGACCACAAATGTAATGTCTCGGTTTCTTCCGGGAAATGAACGATAGAAAGTCAAGAATTCGAGTGATTTCTTGCTATTCCTTTCATCGATGAGATCCTTTTCTAGGCGTAGAGCAGGGCGAGATCCCGTCCCAGGTACAACTCAGCGTCCCCGAAAGTGAGGTTGTTCGAGATGGTCAACGCTCTGGCTACCAATAGACCGACACTTGGGTCAGAAAGACCATGTTTGAAAGTAGCGGCATCCCGAAAAAGGCCCCCGCGAGTTGGGCGTGTCCTGTAGTTGACAGCCTCCTTGATGGCCGTCACCGCGTCCTTTGGGAGAAGACGCATGCAGGAGACTAAGGGTAAGGGCCTGTGGAAGAAGAAATTAGTATCGAGGGTTCGCTGCTTCCCAGGACGGTCGTGCGCTTGGAAGCTCTCGCTGACCGGGCGGTACTTGAGACCGAGCTCCCGGATGCTCTTGCAGTTATCAACTTTAAACGGAATGCCAAGGTTAGGATGGCGGCCGACTACTTTTTTTTGAAATCCCGATGAAGGGCCCGGCAGCATACACCATCAGCCTTGGAAGGTTGCGGCGCGGTAACACCTTGGGATCCTTGTGCACTGGTCGCATAAAACCGGCAATCTCAAGCAGTGAGATCGTGCGGTCACCCTAGATGATGAAGCAACCGTTCCGCGTTTTGTCTTCACCGACCTTTACATGAGCTTTGGCGACGTCACGCACGTGGGCGACAAGATAGGACAGATCCGCGACGCCCAGCTACCGTACGCGTATGGATAGTGTATTACGCTGCTGCTCTGATTCCAGCACGACTCGTCGAGGGTTTTGTTCGGTGTCTTCATTATATCGACATTGTCACCGAACATTGCGGAAACTTGACGAAAGGCTTGTTAGATGTTGACCCACGGTGCAAGAATGGGGCGAGACTGCGCGTACTGGCAGCCATCAAGGAAAGCACCTCATTTTCTGGGCAAGCCTGAAGGTCGTTCCTCAGTCTCTGGGGGGGTGTAAAGATCGATCTCAGGGGTTAGGGTCGTATTCGGAGAGACACCTCTTATCAGGCGGCCGATAAGAGTTCCGCCACTTGGACCTCACATCGAATGAACCCTCCCGCCCTCCACCTTGCATCGTTGACATCATCCAAAAGTCGACAACCCTCCGCGACATGTCGTCCTCACCCCTGATCGAGAGACACGACACAAGACGCCATGCCTACGAACCTTCCTAGACCATGCTCACAGTGCATCTGCCGGCTCAGGCTGCGATCGCTCGCCACCCGCAGCCCTCCCCTCCGCCTCCTCTCCTCTGCTTCTCAACACAAGCCAAGTAAAGACCCGTCCGCCACCGCCTCCGAAGCCACCGCCTCCGAAGCCAACGCCTCCGAAAAGCCAGGCAACGAGGCCCCCGCCGCCGCACCCCAAGATGACCCTCCAGCCGTAGACACCCTCCCAGGCGCCCTCTCCCGCCGCCTCGAGCAAGCGACCGAAGAAGCCATGACAGGCAGCACATCCGGCTTCCGCGCCGTCGCCACGGAAGCAGGCTTCTCCCCGGCCCTCAAGGACCGCCTCTTCGAAAAGGTCCAGGCCGCCACGTTCCAAGATGCCCAAGGCCACCCCTGTGCCGAGGCGGGCGCGCAGGAGGTGAGGGAGGGGGGATGGGGTGGCTCGTTATGCACAGAGGGAGGGGTGGAGGCAGAGGGGAATGACGGGACGCGTTTTCCGTTGGGTTGATTGAGGAAAAAAAGTAGGTTACTTGGGTAATAGGGGGCGAATAGCGTAATCCGGCGAAG